AGAATGCATATAATTAAATTTCAAGTTTCAAGAAATTTGGGCTACTTTGTTTTCTTTACATAAAGAATCGAAAGAAAATAGAATGTCGTCTATTCTTAAACTTTTCTATATTCTCATATATCTCAACTACTAATATCATTAATGTCATATATAATCATAGAAATTAAAGTAAAATTTCGAGGTCAAAATATTACATTACTTGTCAGTCAGAAATTTGTAGCAGTACTAATCGATAAATTGCATAAAAAGACAACTGTGGTGTGTGTTATTGATATCGACAGATATAAGTAGTATGTATCATTAATTGAAAGTGAAGTACCTGGAGGCAGAAAGTTAAGAAGATTGAAGAAAAAAGAACGAGAACAGAGAATGATTATTGTAGACATGAAGGAACAGTGAAGTCTGAAATGACTGATCAACATTTTGCAAATGAAGTATTTACAATATGGTTCTCAGATTTTACTAAGATGCTCCGTAATTTTGTGTTGAAATATACTCAATTGTCCCTACTTCTATTCTCGTTCACTACACAACTGGTAAATTATTGATTATAACCCAGAATATATGAAGAACATTAATGTTAACATCAAGATCATTCATGTAGAAGTCAATTGAGATATGCAATGATTGATTTACAGTATTATAATGCAAAGTAGGACTGATTCAAGTATTAAACATTGCAAAAACTTGATCCCATATATAATTTAATTAATACAGACTTATGCATTTGTTCTAAATATATGATTAGTATTCTTGTTCTCATATATTGCCATGAAAATATATGATCAATACATTGCTACATTATCAACTGTCTGTAGATTTATGGAAGTAAAATAATGGGCGAGACTATAATTTATGGACGAACCAATCAGAAGCGTTTGAGGAATTTCAAGGTCACAGTGCCAATTTCAACACCTGATGCTCATGTACGATCGGTTTACAGATAACTTTAGAGTAGACTTTACAATTAAGTGGCTACAACAAATGAGACTACTAAGAAGTTCCTTTATTTGTGATTGTGGTAATCAAGTGACTTGTAGACGTTGTGCAGACTATCGTGATGTTGTCCTTCGATGTAATATACGTTGAAGGAAGACGTTTGCTGGAATAGGAAGCTTTATCGCTCGATCCAGATTGAGAATAACGAATATCATAATAATTTCCGCGAACTGTATAATAAAAGCACCAGTAACATTGGCTGAGAAAATCGCAGATGCTACTGTTGTAGCGTAAATCCGATTCTGTCTATACTCGTATGTAATAAATGACTTTATCCGCGTTGGTGAACAACGGAGTTAAATACGTCAAATACGAGAATAGATTTAGAATACATATATTTTCTACAGTCATTGATCTGGCCAGAGAATCAGAGTAATGGAGCGAATAAAAGCGAACGAAGCGAAAGATCATGCGCAATGGAGATTGGCTGGGAAGCCAACTCGATTTAAGCAAGCGTTAATCAACATTTATAGGTGGACAAGAATGAGTGACAGACATACGATGAATAAGATAAGAAGTGTACACATATATGCTCATATAAAAGTATAGTCAAGGTTAATAAGCAAATGATTAACAAGATCAAAATATGACTCATAATGGATAGGCGAATTGGCTTGGCCAGTAACTAGAATAAAGTATATGGGCTTAACACATAAACTGATACTACACTACTGAAACTTCAACTGTTCAGTGGTATGAGTGTTGTGGGGACATACCCATAATAAAAATGATAAACTTACACAACCGGAGTACACGTAAACAATAATGAAGTTACGTGGTTCAGGCTGAGAGGGTTTTCGTGAAATTATCTTGGCTCCAGAGACCAACTATTATGGAGCTATATGGATGACTTCCTCTACCTTATGCACTACGATTTTAAAACCTTTGAACGTTTTCCTAACCTTGACAAGTTTTTGGACCATATAAAAGGATGTATCCAATTTAATTATTTGGTTTTGTATAATATATTTTCACTCTATGCTGACTGTTCACTGATAGGCTAACATTTCTCAAGCTCACTTGCGATTCGCTCAAAGGTCATCCATAAATTATAGTCTCGCCAAATAATGGGGACATTTAGTTTATCATTTAAACAAACAACATATTTCTGATAATCTCCGTCTTCTTATTACACTATCGAGACAACAATTAATTAATTTTTATTATGAAAAATCAAAAAGTATTGGACATATGTATAGTCCTCCACCAGGATGTTCTTGACAGTTCATACACAGTATTCTACATCAAATTAAGATTCAGATGTTGATCATGGTATTATTCATCTTGTGAGTCAGAAATTTAAAATGATTTGCGGTATAGTACTATCATGGTCAAAAGATATCAGAGGGTAAATGCTTTATTATTATTATTACTAAGGATGCTAGCTAGCGGTCATAGCGTTTCGAATTTCGGGCAAAGTCAAAGTTTGGTTTCATCTAAATTTATTCCCAAAACTTATCTTAAACTAATGCTTGTTTGACAAACTATTCACTAGATTTAAAGCCACTGGATCATTGATGCTGTCACTAACTTTTGAGATGTACAGTCATCTGTAGTTTATATGAGATCACTAACTTACTCCTGTGACTTAATTTTATGCATTATAATCAATTAGTCAGCTAACTTTAGATTGCTATCATGTAGTCCATGTCAGAGTAGTAACATTATGCACGTATTACATGAACAAACCGTTGGTACTAGTTTTCACCAAACTATTACTTCACTTGTCATAAAAAGTATTATCCCAAGATGTCTGACTGGAAAATGAATATTACGTTTTCGTGACCGATGTTCATTTGAGTGAGCTCCAGCTCAAGGGATTCATCGGCTTGACGTAAAGAATTTTACTGAGATCATGAACTGATCTAAGTTGGACAGCCGTTGAGAAGCTGGACGGTTATTTCGTCCTAACATTGGATTCCTAAACAGTTATAACCCCAGTTGTAGAGTCATGGATCCCCAATGTTAAAGATTCAAGTACTAGAACAAATCGATTGTCTAGAGCTTCTAGTAGTCGTCTCACTTAGGTCGGTTAGTGATTTCAGGAAAATTTAACTATCCCTACAACCTTCATACTGAAAAATGGAGAATATTTATTGCAGTTTAAATTTATAATACGAATCCAAATGTCCACCTTGAAGACTAATCCAATTTTAAATCTCTTAGGAAAAAACTTTCAATGTTAAAAATCTTCCTACGAATAAATTTCATAAGTTGGAAAAGAAGCAGTTATTCTTTTAAACGAGCGCATTAAATGATATATGTTTTCTTGTTGAAATCTGACGTGTTATAGCCGAATGGTACAATAACAAATACCGCAATCCTTCAGTCTTCTTCGATATCTAGATGTTCAACGTGTTAAGATAGCACTAAGCAATGAACAGTATATTATTTTGTTACTTAGCTACTAATTAGAAAACTGAACAAACATTAATACTGACCTTGTAAGAGTAGTTTGTATTATTATTTCCGAGATAACTTGTATTTACTATTTTACTTATTGTTTAAAGAAATCTTTTAAGAGATACGAACTGTCGTTTCAAACGTAAACGGGGTTGTCTAACTTCATGACCTGCAATCAGGGTTTACAATCTATTCTACGAATTATTTGTGAATTACATTTTAGATACCATAAAGTGACTTAACAATTACTATTTGAAACAAGAAATCCAAAAAAGAAACATTCAAAATGACGATTAAAAGAAAAACAAGAGAATATTTCTATTTCTTAAAAGTTAAGTGAACACAGGAAAAATAAATGAGGTTGATCAATTTTGTACATGAAATTAGGTCAACAACAAAGCTTTGTTTGAAGTTAACTAATTAATGGAAGTTAACCTTATTGATCACGTCTAATCGGCTATTTACTAATGCCTATTATTATTCAATTTAACTACAATCTTCTCTGCATATATATATATATATATATATATATATATATATATATATATATATATATAGCCCCATACTATTGGTTTATACAGTTTATTGATTTGCAGTCAGAGATACATTGAGTAAATGTAATTTATCAAAACAAAAGTCATAATGTATGGTATCTCTAATCTTTGTACACAATCGATTTCATTATTTTGAATGTCAAACTCAGAAATAGAATGAATATTCTACAGTTAGAACAATAATAACTAAATGTCTTGTAAGTAGTCAGCAACATTAGTTATATATATACATCTCATAAATAACGGATATCATTACAAATTCTTTGTTCATAAAGGTAATCTATTTTACTTTAAATTGTGTATTATCCTGTAATAAATTTGATCAAAGTTTATATAACAATGTTATCAAATAGATCAATGACAAGGTTCAATTTAAAGTGTTCATTATAGTAAAGCTAATTAAATAATAGTAATTTAAACGTCACGTATATTTTTTAGCCAACTTTTGAAGAAATAAATAAAATGAATTAAGTTCAATGTATAAGAAAAAGAGAATTCAGCGAAGAAAATGTTCTTTTCGACGAAATCATTTACTTAAGCTGTACATTCGTATATATAGTGATATGGAAAATATGTCTATAGGAGGCTAGAAAAGATTGCATTATAAATGGATTCGACAATAAATAACAAATGAGGTGACGTACTAATCAAGGGGTAAGGAAGAAAATAGTTTATGGGTCAGATAATATTTCAATTGACAGATGTGAAGAAAAGCGACAAACACAAAGGTCATAATAATAGACTGAATAATAATCAAGAAAACTTGTAGAAAGTAATAATAATAACTGATTAGAGTTTAAATGTAAAATAGTAATTTAAAAAAGTACAGAAAAAAAACGTACTCAATGAGAGAATTAAGGCCAAGGAAGGATAAGAGGTTGGACAAATCGTTTCTGTACGCAAAGTTCAGGCTTGAATTCATGTATTGCCAATGCCTCAGCAGTGCATAAAATATTGATTCGACCTCCCTTTGATCCGGTTCCTTTAACTCTATAGATTATTTTAGAAGACGTGTCTTTTGGAGCAATGTGTCCACAATTGATTAAATGCTCTTGTATCGAACTGGTTATCTTTTTACATTCACCTTTTAGGAGCCAAGCTGGATAGTATTCAGAGATACGTTTGGAAAGCGATCGCTTTGCGCGGCTGTTGATAATCAATATGAAAACCAAAGTATTTGGTAATTTGCATCATAAGTAAAGTTTTAAATGTTGCCAATTCATTTTACAAATCATTTCAAAACTTGTAATAATGTTTGTTAGATAGATAGCCAATGTTTAGTATACAAAAAGAACATGAAGATTGTAGCGCAATATGGAGTAAATGCACAAAATTTAGATAATTTAATAAGAAGACGAAGATTATCAGAACTATGTGATATATTAGCGCAATACATTTCGAACAATCTGATCACACATATACTTGGTGAAGAAAAAGCCTGTCTACATCACCTTACCATTTAGAGGTGATTCAAATAGCCTTTTATTGAAACAAAGGATTAAATCAGTCATCAACAAAATGTATTGTGCAGCGAAAATCATTATCAAAGAAAGAACGAGGTCCATGCTTCATTCAAAACCTAAAAGACACGAAAACGATTGTGTCACATCCCACTGCGTTTACCAAATTGGGTGTATGTGTGAGCACATATACATATGGAGGAGCTATCGTGATCTGAAAATTAGGGTGGGTGAACATGTACCAATTAGAGACTGACCAGTTGCAGTCCTAACACATCGATGGGAAGATTCAAACAAACAATACTAAATGAATTTAAACTTCACCCCATCGCACAAGCAAGTGGCTATTAGGACTCAGTGGCCGAGTGGATAACGCGATAGCGTTTGAAGCGAGGGCACTGGGTTCGAGTCCCAGAGTGAACAACAACTCTGAGATGCAGGTACATCCGGCTGACGGGTCCCAAATAGGACGAAACGTGAGTCCTGGATTCCACTGCTAGCCACTATTCATCTCTGCTTACCATGTACCAAAATGGTTGCAGGAACAAATAGAATCGAATAACCCAATAAGAGTAGAGGATAAACATCCATCATCCTCTATTGCCAAACATATAGTCGAAAGAGGTCATAAGATTGATCTTAACTCGGTTTTTGTGGTGTTGTATGAAAGTGTAAAAAGGCGTATACAAAGGTTTATTGAAGCATTAGCCATACGAAAATTCAAACCCCCTTTGTGTATTCAAAAACAGTTTGTTCTCTCCTTAAACCTACCCCGATAGCTTAGCTTATTGTCTAGAGTGATTAGGTGTCAGATTGTTTTCACATTATTATTATTATCCTTGTCTATTCTTGACCCCCATTTCCAGTCTAGTTGACCTTTTATTCTTATATATAAATGCTCTTAACAAATATATGTGTGATCAGATTATTCGAAATGTATTGCGCTAATATATCACATAGTTCTGATAATCTTCGTCTTCTTATCAAATGGACTAATTGCTTTAAATACACAAAAGAAAAATGTAGTGCTGTGAATAAGGAATGTCCACATAAAGTGAAAACTATCAGTCTCAAAACTTCTATTTGAAGGATTCTACTTAGAAACAAGATGAAAAATCATATGACATGAGGAACAAAACAGACCACTATTATATCCTAGTCATATATACATGCCTAAATATTTACACCTTCTAAGACGTCATATTCATTATTTATACATGAAAAAACAAAATTAGACCAAATTACCGGTCTGAATTATACTGAGGATCTTAATATTTACTGAATGTGGAAACAGTCAATATTCTTCAGCACTTTAATATAGCTCAATATTCATTGACTGTTAATGTTTCTATTTACATGGATTATTTCTCACCATTATTATTATTCATTTAAATACGTTAAAATATTCACCTGTTGTTAGTATGTGAATAACCGAAATAAAAGGGGAAAAATGTAATCGGTTGACAAACGTAGAATACATAAATCAAAAGTTAGAGTATTTAAATTAGTGTAGAACGAAGTCATTCACTGGAATAGTAATTAATATTTCCTCACTTTGAATATACTTCCATAGATTGGAATTCACATTGATATTATGGCTTAGATGATGTTCTATGAATCTACTAATTCTTCCGATTTTGTACAAGTTGAAAGACATTTCACAGCTTCAATTAATTTTCCAGAGTATAGGTATAACAATTATTATTCAAAGATTGTCAATCGGTTATTACTCACACCAAGTGATGAGATTATAATTTATGGACGACTTTTGAGCGACACTAAGGTCACTTTGCATAGCTAAAAATAGAATACCAGTCATAATCTACAAATACGTTGCGATTCAACATGTAAAACAAATTAAGCAACACACTAATCAATTAATGACAATCAACCAGGTATTTCTACAAAATATTTTATATTCACCAACCACACTTTAATATACATAAATGTAAGTTAGAAAGTTTAACACGTTGCAAATCAAGTGTATACTTGCAATATCCCTTATCATATTAATTCAGGACCAATTCAAAAACATTTTCTGAATAGAGACTATTGGTAATACAGAGACTCAAAGATTATCAATATTTAACTTGAATGATCTGATTCTCATTGAGATTATAACTTCTTTTTTTCACTAGCTGAGGTATGTTTGTCTGAACATATGCTGTATCCTCAATCACTCAATCCATCATATACGAATTTTTATCACTGACCCGTTGCAAATAACCGAACAGCATGCAACAAAATGATCGAATGAGAAATTCTTTGATATTATATGTATATTGTACATCAATGCATACAATATTATGCTTAAAGTAATTATAACTTGATATTAGATAAATATTTTGTTTAGGATCATCAGGAGTGGATGTCTAAACGAACAAAATTTAATTGTAATTTACTTGATATTCGATGGTGGGAAGAAGCAAAATTACCTTTCGAATGGAATAACGTATGACAATTAACTCTAAATTGCGAACCTCTTAAATAAGTTAAAATTAACAAATTTAGTCAGTAGACTAATAATAAGACTATATATACATTGTTTTAAGTTTCTTTTATAACTACTGATTAAAATGTAATTTGACAATCATGTAAAGATATATACTAAACCGTGTAACGCAACTATTCATTCTAAAGTGATAAACACTTCCAAGAGAAACTGCTTAAACTGAATTAGTTTACTTGATTACGACAAAAATTAAAGATACATATCCAGTTAGTGAGTTCCATCTCCATAATCTTGCATTGGTAATGCTTGAATATTCTGAAATTTAAAAGTTCTTATTTTCAAAAAAGAAAATTAACGACATCAGTGACACCTTAAGCATAATAATACAAAAATACACGAAGTGGTTCCACGTATATAGTACACGACGAGAATAACTGTGATGAACTAAAACATGACCAACCCTCTTTCCCCTTGAACTAGGCGTGGTTACTAATCTATTAACATGATAGTATATATAATAGACTAAAGAAAGAAAGAAAGAAAACAGAAAATCTACTACTCTACTATAGTATCCCAATAACAATAATAACAACAGTGATAAAAAGCATTGTATTATAAACTATTTGGTTCGTTATCATAATATCTATTAATGTACATTTTACTTATGAATTACTGAGTCTTTTTTTATTCGAAATGACTGTCATGTTGGACCATTTTTCGAGTAGGTACAATTAGATCACCATAAATATAAATCTTTTAAAAAAAAACAATTTAACATTTTATCAATGATAGATTGTACAATTGTAGACAAAAAAGAAAGAAAAATAGTAAGAAATATATTTTAAATGAAGAAACGAATGGTAATAATAATAATGTTAATATGTTTTGGAAGTAAAATCAATTCCAATTTGATAGTTACAAAAAATACAAAGTGGATGATAAAAACTAAAAGGGAGGGCGAACATGAAGTAGATATGACCAGAAAAAGGAGCAAACTTTAGAAAAAAAAGACAAACTATACAAGGAATAAAACGAATGATAAAAATAAAATGATGAATATATTACCCCTACATCTCTTCATCAGTGATAATATGTGTGAGTGCAATAAAACTAATGAATATAATTATATGATGTGATAAATACAGATGAGAATGAAAGTAATTTATATGAAAATCATATCTATCTTCTTATTTGTTAACAAGTGACTTAATTGGCATTAATCGTACTATTCAATAAATGGCATTATACATACATATACATGTACTAAGTGGAAAATAATGTTATAATGTTTTGAAAAAAAAAGTAATGAATAGGACAAAAAGATACATGAAAAGATAGACAGAGATAGTAAATACCATAAACTTCAGTATAATGCATTACATAAGATAATTTTACAGAACAGTAGAAAAGGAGAAAGACAGAACACAAAGAGGAAAAGCTGGAACAAAATGAAAGCTGAACGGTAACCGCGAGCACCTTGGTTCATGCAGAAATAGAAAGGTTATTCGGTATAAGATTTATCAGAATAAGTAGAATCTTATGAGTATGGTAATTAGAGTTTTCAAGAGTATTAAAACAAATTTGTGTCTTTCTAGGAGAACACCTCACAAACTTCACAATAATAATAATAAGAAATTCTGGGTTAAAAGTGAAAAATTGATGAAATGCACCGTTTTTCTTAATCCAAAATAAAGATTATTCACAAATACAACAAGAAACACAGTCTTTACATAAATAATATTTAGTCATAGAACAGGGGTAAGATGTATAGAAAGATGAAATGAATTGACTTCTTTTTCAATTTACATTAATTTCAATGAACAAAATGTATAGAATTTTCCCGAGATGATTTTTCAGCAGTTGGAAGAGGATCTCTGAAGATAAAGAAGAAAAAAAGGAGAACAATAACAATAAACTGTCTAATATGATCTACAATATAAATTCTTCTCAATAATTAATTTAATTATCAGTAATAATGATAACATTAAGATATACAAAGTTCAACAACAATATACAAGTCATATTCAAAAGGGGGCGATGAATTTGAAGTACTACTAAAATAAGAAATTATATATGACAGGGATTGAATTATGATGGTTATACATTATGATCCAACAATGACCTGTGACAGATCAACAACTTAACACTATGAACCAGTGATAGTCCAGGCAATCGACTACAAGCTATTACTTCATGAGTCTATCAGCGATAGGTATTTAATATACTTTTGGGTTCAAAGTAGTAGTACTGAATGTTAAGAAACGTTTTGAAATTTATAGTTTATTAGCTGAAACTTCGTATATTGTTACACCATTGTACGAGACGAAAATAATGTGAACAATGAATAATTATTTATGTGTAAACAATTATCGAGCGGCATCCAAGATGGTTCAAAAAAACAGCGTAAGGTGTGGCACGCAGGAAACCTATCCAATTACCTTAACTTTCGAAATAGTTAACAAGACCGATATTCTACGAATTCCTACATAATTACAAATAGATTTACAAACTAGTAACATGTGTACCTGTGATAAAACTGAATTCTCCTAAGATCTATACATATACTCCGAGAAAAGAAAGGTGAATCACTGAGAACAATGAATCGGTAGGTTAAAGTATCACTATAAGCATTTTAATCTAAGAAAGTTCACTAACTCAGTAACTCACTCACTTTCTTAACTCAAAAATGAGTCTTGAAATAACCGACTCCGTAGTTCGAATATGTATAAGTAAGTTGGTGATTAGAGGTAGTAGACAGAAAACCCTGGTTTTGTGCTGTTTGGTACTCGTCACCAAGGTGTAATCTGTGAGGACTGGCTCTCCCTTCCTAATTTGAATTCAGCTTTACAGTTGGAGACGTAAGCGCTGAGCTATTCTGGCCATGAATGACCTAGTGTGCGACTAAGATGTATTTACAGTAGATTCACCACGGAATGATGATGAATATCTGTTATAACGTAGTATGCTGTCGCTAATTGTTATAAACGTAAAGGAGAGAGAAGATGCTGGTTATAACTTTAGGGGTTTCTGGTTATAACAGTCCTTTTACTTCTTACACGTATGTGGGACGTTAATTTATCTTAGACAAATATCTACACTAGATTCCCACCCAGTGTCTATTCTACAGGACTTCAACAGAACTCAGATCAAGAACACCAGATTAGCCTATGACGTCAATATATTTCCACACGAAAATCCGACACAAAGAACAGTTAATCAATAAGTGTCCATCAACAAGGAACAGTCAAGATGTCCATACATAATAAGGATAGGGAAATATATATAACACATAACACCTGTCATCCCCTCTAATGTCTGACTCATCGAGACAACCAATCATTGACATTCTCGCCCACACATCAATATCACTGAGGTGTGAGGAGCATTAAGAAAAACTTGACATATATGACACTGGTAACTGCTCAATAATCAATCAATTGTAAGTAATGTGTGAACGATTAAATAATTGTCGGGTGTTAAACGTAATAGCTATAAAGTAATGCAGAGTAAACTGCTATGTAACATAAATGTCACCAAGTAATCGTTAAATAAACGAGCTATCAAGCTATCAAAGAAAAAAGTTATAATCTTAGAAGTTGATGAAAATTTCAGACTTAAATGTACAAATTAAACATCAATAATTCATATAGATTAACGAAGCAAACTAATATGACATCCTACAATAAAACATCCTGGCCAGTTATGATGTCATTTTGTATATTAAAGGGTTAGTCAAAACATTAGCAGTGTGTATATATATAGAAGTTGAATAAGATCACAGACCATAACATCCTATAGTAATGAGTATAAAATTGAATAGACTTCTTTTAAACCAAAGCGTTATCTGTTAGGCTACTTTAAATAACATCCTTTTAGACCGAGTATTTTGTTATATAAACTCCAAATACCATCTAAATCTCCAAAGAAATATCAAATTTATTTTTTATTTTAAATTTTAATTCACCTAATATAAAGAAAATCAAACTGTGATGCCATAGACAAAAGCATCAAATGATTTTCATTGTTTAATTAAATTAGAATATAATGAAAAATGTAGAGAATCAAAGTGCAATATATATAACGACACAGTATATAATTAAATTAATCGGTTAAGAGAAATCTTGAAAAGTAATTATTAAAAGAATATAGAAATTAACTGTAAGACAATAAGATCAAAGAGTACTACTATGAAGACGTTTTGATCTCATAATTCGTTCAATAATACCTTTAGCATTGATTTTTAGGGTAAGATGTATTAACCTCTTGAACTGAATAATCTATACTGATTATGATATACATAACACATTAGAGTCATATAACAAGTTAACACTTCGTAAAATAAAATGGATTCAAGGGAAAACACATTCGTTATCTGATTTAATCATAAGATGACAGTTATGAAAGTGAATGAAATAACTGTCAAGCACTTAAATTAAGGAAAACTACTATAGATAAGTTTATAATGAAATGAATAAAATATTTAATAAGAGTATTCCAGTGAAAAAATCTTATTTGACAGTGTATTCTTGTCCTTTACTGGTGATAATATATCACTCTAGGAAAAAAAGACAAGTCATTTTGTAACTTAAGTCTTTACATCGAATGTGGCACAATTTATTTTTATTGATTAAGATAAGAGAAACGCCTCTGAATAAGTTCATTCATGTATTTAGACTAATGAGTCAAGTGTAGTTTAATGAAGAAAACGCATCTTCATGAAATATTTCAATACAAGGCCAGATGTTTGTTTGTAATACGCGCGTTATTAACGACTTGACAGTCTTTCACAAACATACAAGGCTATTTGCAAAATTAAGACATTGTAAATTAAAGAAAAATATGGACAAAGTGAGAAAAATCTGGAAACATTTCACAATGAAAAACAATGATATAAAATCTGACTGGTGGATTATAAGAATAATGTCACCCGTTACGACCGAATTACAACGATAAAAATGATTGGAGGGGATTCAGTTGATTGAAAGCTAACTTACATGAAAAATGTAAAGCTTTCTACGACGAAAATATCACTTCATCATGCTACGGACGTGTCAAGCGTAGGGCGATCAGTCGTGATGGAAGAAGGTTTACAACAATCTTACCTCAAATTAATTTTATAATAGGAATTATTCCAGAATATCTACAATTGAGTGACAGATTCAGAGTACAAAGGGGAAAGTATGAAAATGGTTCATTACTGCGAAGGATGGAGTCAATAATCAATTCAAAACATTGTTTCTCAAATATTATGTCTTAGATCCGAATGTAAAAACCACTTTTACGATACTTCTACATAAATCTATCATGTAAACAGATTAAAAAGCGGATAAATTATGGGGTAGATTTATTTTAATCTTATTATTTAGTCGGTAAGTACTCACAGGATTAATTATTAAAGTTTATCAATGTACCTTCACCATACATATGTGCCTGTTGTTTATGGACCTGATCACTGTACTAAATGACTCTAGAAATAAAGTCACCGGAGCGCTCATGTCTGATCTGACCGACACGTCAGAAGCCAAATATAATCGATTGCCTGCCTTTACTATTTGATTTAATGGATTTATATGCAAGAAATATATTATTCCCAATACATCTCATATGACCCTTCTTATTTTACGTAATTATCATGTTCGCTACGCAACGATCAAATTTCAGAATATGTACTGAACTAAACTAGGGATATATTAAAATAAGGTTTAATAAATTATGATGTAAAGTGGGTTAAATAATATATCCTCCTGAAAAAGCTTCCAAACATCTTACTGCATACGTTTACCAAGATATCAATTCATAAGAGAAAGTAGTAAAAAAAAAGATGAAACCTTATGGAAAGAAACCCTGTCATAGATTATCATGACCTGACTGACACGATCAATTTGATTATGAATATCATATCCGTATTAAATATTATCGTTGCCTGAATGTCATTTAAGTATAAGCCTGAAACAGGGTAATTTTTATTTATGTCTAAGGTTAATGCTGAAGAAAAGGTTACACTTTCATTGCATTCGAGAACATAGATGTAAACCTGAAAATCAATAATGACAATAAAATAAAATACGAAAATATAGTACAAACAATAGTATAAAGTTAACAGCATAAAGAAACATTAAAGATTTATGGTTCTTTGAATTGTAAAACGTTCATCAGTATGCGTAAACCAATGAGAAAGTAATAACTATATATGCATATATTAACCAATCAATGAGCTTTACTTACAATTTAATAGGACCATTTGTCCAACTTGGATTAGATAATCTTTGTGGTGACTTTAAATTATATCTTTTCAATTCGAAATCAGATGATGGAGAGTGTATATTACAGTTATTACTGTCGCTATTACCATTATATACTGGTGCAGAAAGTGGAGGATGACCGTATGTCTTATATAATATAGACAATTTCATTTCTAACTGCTATATAGAGAAGAAAGAAAAGGAACAAAGGTCAAAACAAATTATTAAAATTATCAGTAGAGGTTTGCAGAGATTACAGAATGTTATTGATAACACGAACCACAGACAATAGATGACCACACAATATCGTGAAATGGTTGAAGTCAGGCATAGACACTATTTGATTTCGGCTCAGTAGTCTAAAAGTTAGGTGTTAGAGTGCAATATCGAAAGTCTTGGGTTTGATCCGCAGTGGTGAGGTCATGGATTCACACTGTTGTGGAACCTCATGAATAGAATTAAACAGCTGTTCAGTGCTTTCTGGTTTTTAAATTAATTTGTTCCAAAATAATGTAATTTGACAAACAACAATTAATATTTATTCCATTTTACTTTGAGAATAGCAAAACTTAAGGTATATACACCTGTATGTCGGAATCCGTAGCTAAAGAGAGACAAAGACACACACACGAACGTATATATACAGATAGTAAAATTGTAAATTAATTAATTTTGTTATTGCTTATCGTAAACTTTCAAACTTACTCCTATTCTTTGTAAAGCATTATTCACCATATTTAAAGCAGATAATCTGACAGATGGAGTAAGTATTGAATTAAAAAAGCAACTGTTTTCTGTCTGTACCATAGAATCTTTAGTATCGACTAGATGAAACAGGTAATGAGAGAGAAAATATGCATGAATGGAATTGTGATTACGCAGGATAACAATGTAAAAGATTATTAATTCAAGAATAAACCAGTGAGAACACAGTTAAATAAGCCAAAAACATTTATGAACATGCAATGTATATAAGTACTCATGATAACCAAAGTAAGCTTACGAATGGCTGATCACTGCCTATATCTAGTCCCTTAGAGCTAAGTGAATTCTATCGACTGAGTTGTGCTGTGGCGTTAGTCTAAGTGACCCTATATCGCATGCACTACAGGTCAATAGCGATACGAATAGCTCATTACTAACTTCTCTGACTGTATGATGCAGAACTGAATCCTCCAGGTAGCATCAGTTCTTTCAAAATTACAGGTATACCTCGCTGACGAATGCACAGCACAAAACCTAAGTCCAGGGTTCCCTGTCAACTACCTTCCACTACTTAATACTAGGCTGAATTAGATATCTATTACACTCTAATTTCGAATTCGCAACTAGTGTTGCACACCTATGACCTGACACGAGATCAAATCTAAGACCTTCAAAGTTTTATGGAAAAGAAATAAAGATTCTAATAAGTGTAAGTCAAATAGTTCACATTTCAAACTTCACCCGATTTACAATGTAGTAAAATGGTTAAAAAGAACTTGAAAACTTAGTGTGAACAAGGCGACTATATTTGCCAGTGATTAAATTTATAACCAGTTAAAAAAGATCATATTTCATTTTGACAGAGCTTTAGCATCATGATTGGATTTATGAATCATGTCATTTGGTAAAATAGAACTGTTATTCAATAACAACTATAATAAACTATCAGATAAATATGATCGCCGATTTTCTTTAAAAAATGGACTATATATATCTAGTGATGCTTCTACAATGACAATGTCAGAATACCATGAAGATCACAGTAACTTAAATAATCCTAAGACTGAAGAACCGACCTATAAATCTAGTCGTTTAGTTATGGAACATTAGGACCTGATTTAAACGTGATGCTACACCATGATGTAGCAACATAATGACAAGAAATTAACAAGACGAAAGTCAGGGTCACAAGGTATTATTCATTGGAATTAAGAAATTAGCATATTAAACAGAGTTAGTCAGGGATTGAAAAATAAAAAGAGATGTTACATTCAAACCGCTTCAAAAAGAACGTATGAAGTTATCTCAGTGAAATTGATTTTAGCTATAATCTTTAAGAACACCAACTACAAATTAGAAATATCTGACAGGCTCAAGCCAGATAGCCTGTATTTTTTTAACATGTCTAAGACCAACAGTCAATAGTTTGATGGACTAATGTGACTTTTTAGTTAACCCACATTTGTTTTTATTAGACAATATACCATACTAGCAAGAATACTATGCTGACGGATTAACATGTGTAAAATATGCTTCAAACAAAAGTGGAATTATTGATTACAGGATATACATTATGAAATTAAATAAAAACGGTAAATTAAATATACATAAAGGGAACTACTTGAATTAGTCAGTTTAAATGACAAGCTCTCATAATTAGCCATGAGTACTCAAGGGGTGATTCAAAGTCTAAGAACCAAGCCTAACAATCACGTCTTCGTTGAACAGTGAGAGAATTACAAACTAATTTTTCCAATCGTCTATGACATGGTATGATGTTTATTTTATGTTCATATTTCATACGAGCATGCCATTTCACTTCATAAACACCTTATTCTTTCAGTGTCTCTAGCATGGAAAACTTTTATGCAACTTGAACTTTTCATTTTAGTTAACAGGAGCGGAAAAAGAGGACAGAACTAATTTCGTTGTTTAATATCAAAGAACCTTAGTGGAATTTAATTACCACATATGACGCTTAAACAAGAAAAGAAAACAGAATAAGCAGCATTAAACTAGTAATAATAACGATAAGATAGCATAACTTATGCTTTATAACATATAAAAGAATAATTAGAAAACTGTTACATGTAAATGACTGAATGTTAACAAAAAATAATCCAGATTGATCGGAAAATAATAACCATTTGTATACAGACTCTTTTGTGAATACAATTTGGTTAGACTTATATTAGCACGTTAATTAATGTAAATTTATGATTCAAGGTTATAACAATAGTTGTAGTAGCGGTATTAGTAACAAAATCATTATTGTTATTTAAAAAAATAAAAAAGGGGGAAAACACGCTTTCAGATATGAAAAAGATATTGAAAGTAATCGGCATAAGTTACGTTTTACTTAAATAAAATTCCCGTAAATAGTATCTTGTATTGAAATTAGAAGAAAAAAAGCCATCTTATTCAGTTCAATTTACATTTAATAAAAAATTGGATCAAATACAGATCAACAAACAATATTGAATTTTTATAGATTAAATTTCAAGGTATACTTAATTTCGATCTATGCAAGATAATGAAAGTAGTTAGAGAATTACCATATTCGATTACACTGTTACACATTTATTCTGTCTATCATTTGAAACAGTACAATAAACAGTGAAATTGATGCTGTAAGACATCATTGATATACTACATGGAATATCTAACCACTTATTTGTAACCAGTTAAGAAACCTCATCTATTTGTAGTGTTGAACATAACAGATTTACATTATTTACCAAAACATGTTTGAAACACTGGATACCATATGACTAAGTCACATTCCAGTAATACTTATGTCAATAAGAGACTGATCGATTGCAGTCCTGAACACATCAATGGGAAGATTCGAACAACCAATACAAAATGAATATAAGAACTCTCGTCTAAATTAGAGCGAATAGTTTCACAGTATTTGAGCGCCGAGTTGATGTAAGACATTAAATAGGAATAATATATTTGTAAAATCTCAGCGAATGAATTTGTAGTAAATTCGCTGAGATTTTACAAATATATTATTCCTATTTAATGTCAATACAAAATGAATTTGAAGTTCACTTCATGGCACAAGCTAGTGGCTACCTGGACTCAGTAACTAAGTGGATAATGTGATGGCGTCTGAAGCGAACGGTACTAGGTTCGGGTCCCAGAGAGAACATCAACTCTAGAATGCAGGTGCATCTAGCTGGTAATCCCAAGTAGGATGAAACGTGAGTCCTGGATTCCACTGCTAGCCACTATCCATCTTTGCTTAAAATGCTTGTGACTTAAGGCAATATCGAAGCAATCCGCACAGGATGCACATATGCCAATAAGAGGCTGATCAATTGCAGTCCTGATTCAAACAAGCAATATGAAATATATATACGTATTTCTCACGTCCCCAATAATTATGTCGTGGAACCATATAATAATATAAAATACACTTACAACATAGAAAACAATATGCAAATTCATGTGTTACACTTATTGAATACTATAAAGTACAACAATGGAATTTTTATTGTTTTATTCATCCCCAAATTAGTCCCCTTCCACAATCAGGTCATCCTTAGATTTACTCTTGACAAAAAAAATCAAAGCATAAAAAAGTGTAATGACAGTAGTAAAGGAATATATGTTGTATACGATATTAGGAACAATTTTCAAAGTTTAGGTATACTAAGAAGGTAAATGAAATTAACATGTATTTCCATAATAGACAAATTAGTGAAATATATTTACGAACTAAGCTGTAAACTATGCTTTGGAACACTAAAGCAAATAGTGTAGATTCTAATATTTCAGACAATAATTTCTTACTAGATCTTGTCGAATACTTTACTATTTAAGTGTAATGGTTAGTAATACTATCCAATTGTTAAAACTGAAATAGGTGAAACAGGGTTCGAATCAAGGACTCAGTGGGTGAAGGTTGAACGCTTTAACCATTAAGCCACCACTCACTCACTCTAAAAATAGTAAAGAAGAGTTAGTCATTCACATCACTGGCACTAAATACCAACCTTAAACAATGTTTGATTATCAGAAACAAAATCATAGTTATTTTAACAATAAAATGTAAACAATAATAATGAGAACAAACCAAATCATAAATTGAATTACTCTATTATAATTAAAAGTATTCAGTATGTTATTGTTTGCAAAAATCAGTGAACTATAATAAAATCAATTGAACACCTACACACACACACATACGTACACACAAAGGTAAATTAATTAATTAATTAATAATCATTATAAAAGAAAATATGTAATTTTGTTATTTAATTTGACACAGAAATGATATAAAATATAAATATTTAATCAGCTGATTTTGATATTATCATTATTTGAAATGAAACACTTTAATTTCAGCATGATCTCTCTTTATTTCTTAAGAGATAAGTTTTCTCTCAACTCAGCCAGTCAGTCAGCTACAACATAAGACCGGGCACATATATGCATCGATCCAAGTCAAATGGGCATAAAAATCAGGGATAAATTTTAAAAATAAAAAAAATTAATACATAGGCAAATACAGATTATATTCTTACATCAGGACTTATAGGACTTTTAATATAAGATAAATATTCAAAACTTTATCACATGTTAATGTACACCACTTATGAAGTAACATTTTAGATCTAGAGGGGAAGAAATGCCCTTCTATTATACTTATACTCAAGGCTGTCATAAGAGTAGGAATTATATCAGTGTCTTTATAAAAAATAACTGGTCTTTGCATAACCTTGTCGATAAGTGAGTTCTCTGAGTGAGGTATTTTACACACATCCACATACAAAGACACATGATTACTGAAAACTTGGTTACCGAATTTCATAAATTAATATAGCTATTCCACTACAGAAAATTCACACATATAAAAACATAAACACACAATACACAAACGTTGTTGATCTTCGGAAAGTCATAATGATTACTATTGGCTAAGATTATATTTTACTTGATCAGGTGGTCATAATCTTGATGACCTTGAATGGTTAGTGAATGTACAGACATTTAAAAGTGCACAGACTAATCTTGTGGCCTTAATTTATTGATCGGTCAAGTGTAGACTATAATCACGTGTATAAAACCTGATTTGTAACAAAATTATTTATGCATGCTTTTTAGCTGC